GGCACTACTAAATCTAAACATCTATGTTCCAAGAGATGAGCGGTTTAGCCATGTTAAGTTTTCGGATTTTATTGCCTATTTCCTGAAATCCCTGGCTCAGGTATTGCTTCCAGAGCTGAGATCTTTGTGTGATAAAACTATCAATGAGTTTGACACCTTTGAGGATGTATTTAATCTCTACGATGGATGTATCGAGCTACCAAATGGGCCAACACTGAAGAAAATACGGGACTGCATCCCTTGGGAGCTGTTTAAGGAACTAGTTCGCTCAGATGGCGAGCGATTTCTCAAGTTCCCATTGCCTGATGTGATTAACAGTATGTAAAAGTCTTTACCCCTATGACTTGGTTTCAGATAAGCTAAATTTTTTAGATTTTTAAACATGTTTATACACTAAACTACGAAGGTTTCATGATATAATTGCAGAGGATAGATCTGCATGGAGGACAGATGAAGAGTTTGCAAGAGAAATGTTGGCAGGGGTGAGCCCAGTTAACATTGCCCGCCTCCAAGTAAGATACAAGTTTCACTAATTCATTTGACTATCATAATCATACAGCTAATTTAAGTTGTTCGATACATCATTGAAATTCTATCGGCAGGAATTTCCCCCGACCAGCAAGCTAAAACCTGATGTATATGGGAATCAGAACAGTTCAATAAGAGAAGAGCACATAGAAAAGAACATGGATGGCCTCACTGTTGAACAAGTACTAATCATGCTCAACTTTCTTGCAGTCTACCATTGCGGGTTAAACCATCATAATCTAATATTTATTAAATTCATGTAACATAAGTAATCATTTCTGCCCTTTTTTGTACAGGCGATGCAATGGAACAGGCTATTCATATTAGATCATCATGATGCATTAATGCCATACCTGAGGCGAATAAACTCAACACACACGAAGACCTACGCCACCAGAACTCTCCTCTTCCTGAAAGAAGATGGGACATTGAAGCCTTTGGCAATTGAGTTAAGCTTACCACATCCACAAGGGGACCATCACGGTGCTGATAGCAAAGTTTTCACTCCAGCACCAAAAGGCAGTAAACGCATTGAGGATTCAGTGTGGCAGCTTGCCAAAGCTTACGTTGCTGTAAATGATTCTGGCTATCATCAGCTTATCAGCCACTGGTATGAAGCCTAACAAAGAAAGTGCTGTATTGTAGCATCAGGTAGCAGCTTGGTTCTAGTTTACAAGCTTCTAATTTTATTTGCAGGTTAAACACCCATGCTGTAATAGAGCCATTTGTGATTGCAACAAATAGACAGTTGAGTGTGCTTCACCCAATACATAAGCTCTTGCAACCCCACTTCCGGGACACGATGAACATAAATGCCCTAGCAAGGCACATCCTCATCAATGCTGGCGGGGTGCTTGAGAGAACAGTCTTCCCAGCTAAATTCTCCATGGAAATGTCATCCGCTATTTACAAAAACTGGGTATTCACTGAGCAGGCATTACCTGCTGACTTGCTCAAGAGGTGAGCCAGAAAGCCTGAATTCAAATTAATAGATTTCAACTTCAATCAAACTGAATTTCTTTCCACCTTCTGTTTGATTTCAGAGGAATGGCAGTTCCAGACCCAAATGGCCTTCAGGGCTTAAGACTTGTGATTGAAGATTACCCGTTTGCTGTTGATGGGCTAGAAATATGGTCGGCTATTGAAACTTGGGTTACTGAATATTGCTCTTGCTACTACAAAACAGACGATGAGGTCCACAGTGATACTGAACTCAAGTCATGGTGGACAGAGCTCCGCAATGAAGGCCATGGCGACAAGAAGAAAGAGCTATGGTGGCCTAAGATGCAAACAAGAGACGAACTTATCCAATCATGTACCATAATCATATGGGTGGCTTCTGCCCTCCATGCAGCTGTTAATTTTGGGCAATATCCTTATGCTGGCTTCCTCCCTAACCGCCCAACTGTAAGCCGCCGTTTCATGCCTGAGGCAGGCACTGATGAATACGCTGAGCTTGAGTCAAACCCTGACTTAACCTTCCTCAAAACAATAACATCCCAATTCAACACTCTCCTCGGTATATCTCTGATAGAGATTCTATCCCGACACTCAACTGATGAGGTTTATCTTGGGCAAACAGATAATCCTGAGTGGATTTCGGATGGTAAGCCCCGAGCAGCATTTAAGAAATTCGGAGAGACACTGATGGAAATTGAAAAGAGAATTGACAAAAGGAACAAGGATGAGAAATACAAGAACAGAGTTGGGCCTGTCAAGATGCCTTATACATTGCTGTATCCTAGCACCTCGGACACAAAGAGAGAGGGTGGACTCACTGGGAGAGGAATTCCCAACAGTGTCTCTATATGAACTTTTTGATCTGCATACTACTAGATGGATAGATATTTTTGAAGCAGTTATAATTATTCTAGTGTGAAATGGTCGTGCAACTAGAGTACCAGATAGGATTTTTGTACCTGTCATATTTTTTCTTTATCATAATCTTCTACCAAAGTGGTTGTGCAGATTGTATATACTATCTTAGTGGTATGAATGAATTGGTGTTGTGCATGTGTGAATTATATGTCATTCTCAGAACACAAAAATGAGAGCACTTAAAACTGTTATTAATTTGCCTACAGAAGAGAAGACGAATCGTTCGAATCAAAAACCTGAAAAGATGCTTGTCTGCTACATTACATTGCCTGTATGTCAGGAGCTATATCTGCACCATTTTCTTTTGCCAAAACAGTATCTGCATATTTGCATAGAACGAGCTTACATTCAGTATAACAACAAGCAAGCAATTATGAGAGATAAAATGAGAGAGAGAACTTACTCAATCTGCAAAGTAAATTGCACAACATTGAAGAAGATTTTGCAGTCTCGACTCTTTAGCCTCTCCTGTGACTCACCGATTGGTTGCATGTACCACGTGTAACCTTCTTGACTTGCCATATGCCTTACCATTTTTCTTGTACCAACAAGGATGTCAATGATGTTGCTGAAGAAGACAATTATGCGCGAGTGCCGTAGCTTTTTCTTCGGGGCAGATGCAATTGCTATATCTATAGAGAAAATAGTAGCCTTGGGGAGAATTGTGAATTTGTGATGGCTTCTTGTGACCTAGTGGGTATGAGCTGACCCATTTAGAGGTGGTCAAAATCCGAAGCCCATTTTTTATTTAAAATTGTGACGGATCTTATGATCAAAATCTAAGAGTGCTGCTATTTCCACCCATCTGTCCTATTTTCTCACCCACCATATAAATTTTAAAAAACACAATCCTATTTTTACACCCATCAATATTTCTAAAATATCATTTTAATTATTATCTCATTTCCTCTCTCCTTTATTCTCTCTGCTCATGTCTTCTCTCTCTCTCACGGCCCACACATCTCTCTCTGATTTTTGTTCTATCTTATTTTCCATCTCTTACACTCCATCTTTGTCTCTGTCTCTCATGTTTACTGAACTAAAACAGTTTTTTGTAGTAATTTTTATTTTTATTTTTGTAAATATGGATTCTGTGAATATAATCACATTTATGGTCTTAGCTTTCTACTATTGTAAATAAACTTTTTCTCCAGAGTTATTCAACGACCAGAAATCTATTGAACTTTGCAATAAAATCGTGCTCTTCAACATCCATTCTGTTGTTTTCTTCTTCATAAACAATTTGACTGAATGAATAGAAAAGAGAAGAAAATTATTTGAGAATTGAGTTCTGAGCACTGAAATGCCTTCTTCACCTTCTCATGAGCAAGGAGTCGTATTCTTGTGTGTTTTTTTTTTCTCTCTGTCAAACGATAGGGTTACTTGAGAACTGAGAAGTCTGCGTTTTTTTTTTTTTCATCTTTCTTTTTCCTTAAGTCCTTCTAAGTCATTTTACAATATGATTAAATTTGTCTTTAAAAGTTTAAAGATAAGGTGAGTGGGAAAATAGGATAGGTAGGTGGAAATAGCAACACTCAAATCTAAATAAGTTAGTTTTTTTTTTTTAAGTTTATTAAATTCAACATGAAATCCGAACAAAAAAACAAACTTACTCTTCGTTTGGATGAGAGAAAATAACTTAGATTTAGCTAAAAGTCAAGAATTTAAGAGGAGAAATTGACAATTTCATTGTTTGGCAACTTAAGTGTGGAATTTATTAAATGACGTGAGGAAAAATTGTGAAAATTGGGGCATCAAATTCCTGAATTTAATTTCCATCAAAACAGACGTTATTTCACAATTTCCATGGAATTTCATTATTTACAAAATTCGACATACATAAATCCAAACACTGAAATCTTCAATTGCCAGAAATTGAAATAATGGAAATATAAATTCCATCATTTTAGAATTTTATGTAATTTTCAATTTACTTCATCCCAACGAATGGTAATTGTTTTCCCATCTTTCAAAATATGAAAGATCACAATAGTTCATTAGTCTACTTTATTAAGAAAAGTCTTGAGTTCAAATCTTATAAAGTTATTAATATAATAAAACAAGAGCAAACAATTGATCAAAATCGAACTAATATGTAATTAATTTGTTTTTAAATATAAAAGATAATCTAAATTACTTTCTCACACATACTACTAAAATATAATGGGAGTTCGAACTTGTGACTATTGGTATACAAGTCAGCTGGACTAGACGGTATAACGTGTGTATATTTGTCAAAACTATATGTGCACCAACACACACAACGCTCATTACCATAGGTCGTGTCACATATGTAACAACTCAACCAAATAAACTCATTTCAAACAAAATATGAATATGGGGGATCATTTTAAGACCCCAAAAAAAAAAAAATTAAAAGTCAAAGGACAAAATAGAAATCCCAATTTAGCTTCTCCCTATGGATTTTACAAGATGACCAGAAATAAGATACGCAAAGAAGCAAAGAAGAAACAAAAGAGATTAAAATGAGGCACAGGTAGGCCAGCCAACGTATCAGAATCACAGATCCTAATTGGTCCAACCCATATCACCTTATCCAAACCCAAATCCTCACCACCCACATCAAATCCTTCTAACTCTCCCAACCAAAATCCTCCATAACCCCATAAACCAAAACAAAAATTATACCACAACCATCTCTCTCTCTCTATCTGTGTCTGTCCCTCATGGCCATGGCAACACAAGCCACCCTCTTCACCCCAACACCCTCAGCCCCAAAGACCAGCGTTGAGCGCTCCACTGTCCCATGGAAGCAATCAGTGTCCTCCTCCTTCATGGCCCCAAAGCCACTCATGCTCTCCTCCACCACGAGAACCATGAGGATCAATGCAGCAGCAGAAGAGAAAACTGTGGCCCCACCAAAGGAGGCTCCAGTGGGCTTCACCCCACCAGAACTCGACCCAACAACCCCATCACCAATCTTTGGTGGCAGCACGGGAGGGCTGTTGAGGAAAGCCCAGGAAGAAGAGTTCTATGTGATCACATGGGAGTCTCCAAAGGAGCAGATTTTTGAGATGCCAACTGGAGGAGCAGCCATTATGAGGGAGGGTCCTAATTTGCTGAAACTGGCCAGGAAAGAGCAGTGCTTGGCTCTTGGGACAAGGCTGAGGTCAAAGTACAAGATCAAGTACCAGTTTTACAGGGTGTTCCCTAATGGGGAGGTTCAATATTTGCACCCAAAGGATGGAGTTTACCCTGAGAAGGTGAACCCAGGGCGCCAAGGGGTTGGCCAGAACTTCAGGTCTATTGGGAAGAATGTGAACCCAATTGAGGTCAAGTTCACTGGCAAGCAAGTTTATGACATATAATATGTGATTTGTGTGTATTTTTAATTGTATTTACGATCATGATGACTATGTGAGTATAATTTGTGTTTCTTGTAATTTGATTTCATTAAAATGCAATTTCAGAAACATGATTTGGGTTAATGTTTTTTTGGTTTTGTTTTGTATATGTCATATATATATATATGTATATATGTATATATATATTATTTGCCATAGATTATTAGTTAGATAACATCAGTACATGAAAATTACTAAATCAAATATATACACGAATGATGATGATAAGAATGTTATAGATTGACAAACCCGTCATTCGCGAATTTAAAAGCTTGACGCAGTATTTCTGAATCTCCTTATATTTACACCTTTTAAAATTGTAATCTAACTATATCCAATGAAGAGCTTGTCGAATAGCTAACACCTCAACTTGCAAGACTAAAGACATTTCTATAGGAAATGAGCCAGCTAAAATTGCATTTTCGGAATGGTTTCTGATTAAGAAACATGTAATAGCAGCCTCACCATCAATAATATTATTAATAGATTCATCAAAATTAAAATTAGCTGATGGGTTCCCTCCATATTCAATATAATTCTTGTATTTCCATTGTTTCAATTAGCTTCACATATAAAAGTAACTTTAAAATGGCATCCTTATGACAATGTGGTAAATGCCAGTTGGTCAGGGCAGTGAGCCAACCCCATAAGTTTGAATTCCTCTCTAAAATCACTGATATGCAAGTGAATGCCATTATCTATTGAGCTAGACCTTGTTTGCATGTTTAATACACGTTTAGTTTAGTAATTTAGTACTAACAATTAGGGTTAGGCAAAATCGAGTTGAGTTGGGTTGGTTCCGCTACTCGACCCGAGTTCATTAAGTTGGGCAGCCCAACATGTAAATGGGCCTAATTTACCAACTCAACCCGCTAAAATTCAAGTTAAGTTAGTGCTAGGCATGTCTTGTTGGACCTAGTTCATGTTTAAATAAACTTTTGGTCTTAAATATTTCTTTTTCTAAAGGCCAGGGGCTCAACGAGAGATAACATAAGCCCATTGGATTGTACAAAAATCAAAGTTTATATATGTTTTCATAGAAAATAACCCTTTCACAAATTAACAAGAAAAAAAAAATCATTTTTATACCTAGCAACCAACAATAATTTTTACTTATTTTAGTTTTTCTAGCAACCAACAATATATGATGTGATAGACCCAAATAATATAATGTGATAGCAACATTCCCAAATCCGTGATTTATATAATATGAAATTGTCCAAGGATCACTATCCAAATAATAATATACCTTTCATCAAACAATAACAATAATAATATAATGTCTCTAGAACTTAATTTAAATCAAGATGACAAGTTTGATGTTGCGAGTCTATCAGCTAGATACCCTCCTTTTGAGGCTGTACAAAAGTTAAACGAAAGCTTACATATAACCATATGAACGGAATCAAATTTTTTTATAAAATTAACGATCGAATCACCAACATTCTTGTTTTAAAATTGAAAGATTTCAATACCAAAAGCAAGGAAGCATCACTTTCTTTGCTTAAAATAACACTATTATTTATTGGTACATTGCATAGATACACTTTTTGGATTTGGAAATTTATACTTTTAGGATATGCTCCCATATGCACAACCCATACCCATACCCATACCCATACATATTAACATATTATGCACATATTATGCAATATTGACATAGTTAAGAAAAATATGTACATATACAGTGGGCCCAACCCAAACCCCAAAGCCCAAACCCAACACGAGCCAGCCAGCAAGCAAAAACATCTGGAAGGTGGAAAGGCGAGTCAACTCGATCAAGCTCCAACAGCTGTGGTTGTGAGAATGGAATCGACCTCAATGTCGCTTCTGGTGCGGCTGATCCTTTTGTTACTACCACCATCTTTTCCGCCTACCCATACTTCTGAAACTGCTTGCGCCAGGTTGTTCACGTTCTCTAACACGTAATCTGCTTCTTTGCTTTTCACGGTTTTTCCAACCTTCATTCCAACAGATGATGTGAATTAGTACCAAATTGACCATTTTAACAAAACCTTGCATTGCAAGTTAGGTGGATTTTTATTCTATTCAATGAAGTATTTTTAGTAACGACAGCGTATCATGATAAGGACGATGACTGATTGACTGTATCAAAGTTATTCTCGGTAGAACGATGTGTCACAACTCAAACGTATTCTTTTAGGTAATATTTGAGTTAAAACTATCTAAATCATTTTTACTTTCCCACCCCACTTTAGCGCTTTATTCCGGACAAGAAACCACTTCAATGGTGGCTGGCGCAATTACATCGAGACTATTATGCGCTGGTATGATACACTCTTCCAAAATATTGTACAAATATTTACAACAGTAACAAAATTTAAAAATCAGTTAATTACCAAAACGGTGTGTAGACCCACGGCTTTCCCGGCAGCGACGTTACGGACATTGTCATCCAGAAACAGCTGCAACACGAAAAAAGACAAACGCGTCGTCAAATCAAAATCGAAATCAAATCTTTCAACTTCACAGTTCAAACCTCCCCCGCCTAAAAATCAATTAAACTAATCACAACTACCTCCAAATTGACAACCGAATGAGAAATAATAGCGTGCTTCGTGGCCTTACCGTACGACTAGGATCCACCTCGGCGACCCGGAGCGCGATCTCCATGGCCTCCATTGACGGCTTCAGGACCACCGGAAACTCGTCAGGCCGAGTCGAACTCTGCAGGTTCGGGTTCATCGTCTCGAAGCATATGATCTGCTCGAAGCAGTCTCTCACTCCCAGACGATCCAATGCCTTCACCGCGTGCTTCCGATCCGAATTCGTAAATATCTGCAACAAATTCAAATCAATCAATTAGTTTCTTTTTCTTTAATTAAAATTTTGTTTTTTGTGATTTTGGCGCTTACGATTTTTCTCTGTGCGATGCTACGGAGGAGGTTTCGGAGTTGAGGATCGGGCTTGATCCGATCGTACGGCAACCTTCCGTGCACGACACTGTGGTAATCGTCCGCGTCGATGTCGTAGCCTAACGCCTACAGCACAAAAGAAAGCAACAAAAAATTAATTTTTGAAAAATGAAAGAGGGAAATAAATTATTTTGCGGTAAAAAAAAACACATTTTAAAAGAAAATAATGATGATGAATTATTACACGTAAGCCGGCGAGGGTGCTGCCGTAGCTTTTGAAAAGTTCAACTCGAAGACTGGAGGCTTTGCTCTCCGGGAACCCGCATTTCTCGACTAGAAAATCTGCATTTCAAAATACAAATTAATTTAATCTTGAATAAAAAAATTTATTCATTGTTAAGTTTTGAAGAAAGTGAAGGTATGATTTCTCGCACCATCGATGTTCGTCTTGCAAGCTTCACCTAATCCAGTGTTGGAAGGGTACAGAGTGTCGTCCAAATCTGTACAAAATTAAGCAAATTAAGCGACAATTAATCGATCATATCATCCGAGACTTAATTATGAGCTTGAGAATGAGTTAAGGATTCTGGAATTGTGCGAGAGAACTGCGCGTACCGAAGATGAGGCAATCGAAAGGAGAAGAAGAATCGCGAACAGAGGAACTGCAGGAATCCATGTCAGGCTCGGAGAGAGATAGAGAGAGAGAGAGACGGAAAGAAGAGCTGAGAGCTGTAACCGAATTTCGAAGGCTAAGAGAGCGGAGAAGAAGAAGATTGGGGGCTTTGTGAAAAACGTGAAATGCAATGTGACAAAGGGGAGGGCGTGGAAGATGAGGACAGGTGAGGCATTTATACACGCATATAGGGAGGGAGCAAGGACACGTGGAGAGTAGTGATAGGATAAGTTCATTTATATATTTACCCGATGAAATACAATAATAATATGGACGCGGATAGAAAGATGAGAATAGGAAGACTGTTGCTGACTAAGACCAAGAGAGAGAGAGAGAGAGAGTAACTCACTTCGAGCCCAAATTATACCCCTCCCAACACAGCAGGTAGCAATTTTTGTGGACGAAACTACACTCACTCGTTTTCTGAGACAAATGTTTTTCACGTTTTGATAATCTGATTAAAATTGATTTTATCATAATTTAGTTCAAAGATTTTTATTTTACTTTATTTTATACAAGTGGTGGTTTATATTACTCTATATTAATGAGAACTCAGAACTTAAACGAAAAGAGGTTGAACTTACTACATTGACTAATTGGCCTAATACACAGTCTACAATTCAAAGAGTTCTGGTGTGCTAAAGTGTAACTTTAATTAAAGTAAGTATAAGGGCATTTTAGTAACTTCGGAAGAACACTGCATACGTGTCCGTCTCGCTCAGAAACTTCATCCAATTGCATGTGGAAAAGGTGGCAGATTTTTTTATACCAGAAGCTCCCAAGGTGATGGTGGAAGTCAATCATTATCTAAAGATACTGTCAAATTCCATGTGAACCGTCCATATAAACATATAAACATACGTATTTTGTTGGTGTTTTTTGATGTGTTTTTCATTTACACTCAGTCAAATTCTTCCTGTCTTTTCCATTTTAATATCTCACACCCTAGCATAAAACGAACGAATATCTAATATTTAGGGGGTGTGCTGAGTAAATTAGTGATTGGAAGAAGAAAGTCCCATTTCTGAAACACCAATTTTATACTGAATTAGATATGTTAAATTAGGGTATCAAATGAGTTGTCTTTGCACAAAGTCACTTTTAGCCTAACAAATGGGTGAGCTTATCTTATCTACACACCCATGATTTTGTATCCACACACCTATTTACGGACAATTGGGTGAGCCTAGCTGGCTGTATATCCTCTAATATCCAACCCACCATGGTCGCAATCGCAATAGAGTTTTCCTAATAATGAAATTTCCATTTATATATAAAATAAAATAAAAAGATTGATGCATCATGTTTTTGTTTGTTTTGTTTTTAATTAATCACATAGATTTAAGCTTAAGACATCTTCCACTAAAGTGACGTCGAACGAACTTTAATTTGTAATTTAACGAGTACGAGTATTTATTTTTTTCTTTTTTCCAACAGATAAAATAGAGAGGCAGCTTCTCCACTAAGGAACATATATATGCTGTCCTTTCTTTAGGTATAGATATATACCACTAAGGACACCATATATGCTTCTCAAAGATTCCAAATAAATTTGATGTTGATATAGATATCTCCTAATTAGAAACTTAGAGACATTTATAATTTGATGCTTTCAGGCTTCCTACGCTAGAGGACATTATCCACGATTTGGACCCTCATGAAAATAAAATAACATCTATCTTTTTATTATCAAATCAATGGTAGAGCTTCTAACTCTAATTATAAAGTATTTGTTCTTCATACTTACGATAAAAGTTCGATTCTTTCCATTTCATTATTTGTTGAAAAAGACCACACGCTAACTTCATGAGGTAAAGGGAACTCCATATGTTTTGCTTGACAAATGAATGAGACTCCTATTGTCAAGTATGTTTGCTTTGCTCACCAAACACAATCGATTAACAACAAAAAAGAAAGCGATTAAATAATTTAATAAGAACATGACAACGCGGTCTGTGTCATAAGTGATGCTGCTTGTGATTAACGACGGTGATGGAGGGATGTGGGAACCAACCACAGACACGGTGTGCATGATGCAACCTCGATCACCTCATGTATTCTGATTCCCATTATTGCCTTCATAATGCCCATAAAATTCGTTAAATATTATTAACCCAATAAAAACTCAACGTTGAAATTGGTAATTGGCTGTAGAGAAAAGGGAAATGACATCTGACTCCTCACAGGCCAACGACAAAACAACGCGAAACACGATGATTGATGACGATGCAGGTGCAGGTGCAGCCTTTCATATCGTCCTTTTCTTGAGTTGTAACAAGAAAGTTGAGTACAGTGATCAGCCTTTGAGATTCTTCTCTCACTCACACACCATATCTGTTTCGAATAGTTAGTGATGAAAATATCTATAGAGATATCGGTGTATCTATGGCTGGTAGTGATAATATCAATGGCACGTAAATAGTGACAAACTTTGCCTTATCCTTTGAGGTGGAAGTACTTCTAAAAAACCCTAGTTTTATAAACTCCTCAGCTCCCGTGTGAAGCTAGATTAATGTTAGGTTTTAATAAAATACTTATAAATCATCAGGTTAGCTGCTCAACTCAATTTTTTCTGTCTTATTGGTGCAGAGGAGCGCAAAGGGGTTATATGCTGTTCGAACTCTAATATTGGATAGTGGGATTGAACCTCTCAACATGCTCATCCTCCAAATCCATAACCCCCTTGCACATACAGCGATAATAAGCCTCTAAATCCATCGAAGGCCCAATCTCTTCAAACCCATTGGACCAATGGTGGAGCGGAGGCAGACTACAAAATTGGGGTCTCAACTTTCAACTTTCAGTCTTGTAAAGTAGTTGCATTGCCATTTCATACTCACATAAACTCCCATATTCCAAATAGACATATCAAGAAAGAGAGACACAAACAAAGATTTATACCATAGTTTTTATAAGTTACTACACAAAAACAAAGAAAGAAAAGGAAAAAGAGAAATACAGCTAAAGAAAAGGAAGACCCAAGATTGTCTTCCCACTCGCACTCTTTTGTTTCTAAGTGCTAGCTTTGCCTTTTGGTTGTGGTTCTTCACTCTTACATTTCCCAAGCTTAATTTTGTTTGTAGGCACTGCCATGGCCATGGCCATATATGAACCTTGCCGTTCCTTCTGTGTATACATGAGTCTCGTTGTCCATCCTGCAAAAAAGCCCACCATCCTAGCTAGATCAGTAACTACTAAGACGAAAAATGAATTCCACAAGGCAAAAAAAAATTTGAGAACAAACAACATGTATGGCACGGGACTTACGATTGCCGGACAGCTTTGCTCAAGGTTGAGGCTGATGATAAGGTTTTTCCATCTAGGTATCTGTTCTCCCCTTTGATCCTCTGTTTAATTCTGAGGTCTAATTCATCAGTACTTAGCTCAAAAGGGGTATCTGAAGCCTGCCATTTTAAACAACTCCTTAGCCTCCTTAGTTTCAATTGAAAAAACAAAATTGTGGCACTTGTATAAATAAGAAAATGTTATAGCAACAGTTCTGTTGTCAAACTAATATAAGACTTTGAGAACATAAACAATGGCATGCATTATGCCTAGGCAGAGCATATACGCTGTTAAAAAAAACTCATTTGCCATAGAGGGTGCTAGTTTTTGTACCATGATCCATCCCCAAATATCAGCATATGAGGGAACATGAGCTGAATAAGGCACAACATCTGCAGATGCAAAGCAGCAATAAGAAAATGGTGGAGATCAAAAGGGAAAGTTTGGCTAAAGAAAAATAATTTTCTTAACTAATCAAGAGGACTTACATTTAAAGACCTGCCTCAAAGTATTGTAAATGCAAGAAAACACTTCTGTATGGCTGAAAATTCCAGCAGGACCTGCCTGCATAAATAAAAAAGAAGAAGTGGTTAATTCTGTCATTATGATTCTGTTTCTCTATGTGATCGCATGCATATGAAGGTATGTTAGATACCTGTGTGACAAAAATGCCTTCCTTGCTGAGCCTAGGCTTGACAATCAGCTCATAAAAGGATTTGGTGTAGAGTTTATAGCATGGGCCTCCTTCTATTGGGTCTGCAAGGTCTCCAATTATCACATCATACTGCTCTTCTCTGTGTTCTAGCTCAGCCCTGTAACACACCTCAGTAATTAGTAACAATGATATCAGAGTTGGTAATTTTGAAAATATAATTAATATGAAATATAATATATAAAATTATATATATATATATATATATATATATAGGTTGTGAATAAACCTGGCATCATTGATGATGAGCTCCAGTCTTGGATCACAGAAAGCTTCACTGTTTACAATCAAATATGACTTACAGAACTCTACCACCTCCTGCATCATGTATTAGTTAACCAGTTAAGCATCCGATGTAATTATTTAGTTAATGTCAAATGATATTACTTGACAAATAATATTGCTTCTTAGAGTAAATAACTTTGTCATCTGCAATAGTTCTATATATCTGTTAAATCCTGTTTTTTGTCTTTTTCAATAACAGACAAATGAAAAGGAGCCTTGGTAAAAACAGCTCAAAAGCTGGAAAACAGTAAATTCTTTAGTTTTATGCAGATTAATTTCTGATAAGGAAAGATGATAGAGGGAAAGTTTTTTTACCTCATCAATGTCACACATGACAACCTTCTCCACAGTCCTGTGTCTCAGAAGTTCTCTTGCAGTGGAGCCTTCACCTCCTCCCATGATGAAGATGTTCTTTGGACTGAAAAAATTGACATTAATTATAGAGTTATGAACAAACAATGCTTGCTGCCTTAACATCCAATATACAGAGAAAACAAAACATATATGTTTATATGTAAAGAGAAGTTATATTACTTGGGATGATGAAGAAGTGGTGGATGAACAAGACATTCATGGTAGATAAATTCATCAGTCTCAGCACTTTGAAGCTTTCCATCAATGACTAAAGCCTGCAAAATACAGAAGAGAAAATGGCATAAGCCACTTGCTGCTATCTGCTGTCATTGTTTTTACTCATAGTAGAATTCATCAAACCTTTCCAAAGGGTTTGGTGTCCAACAATGCAATGTCTTGGTATGGAGTAGCTCCCGTATGCAAGATACTGCAAACCAAAAAAAAAAAAAAGAAGAAAAAAAAAAGAAGAGGTTAATTATTAAAATATCTCAATGATGAAACTAAACTTTGTGATTAGAATATTGCACTCTATTCTAACATTTTTATTATGTCTTGTCTGACCTTTTCATGACAGTGTTTCACTTTAAGAATTCTATCATTTTCTAAAGTAAGGAAGTTTGACACTGAGATTATAAAATAAGGCCATAAGTCAGAAAAGGCAAATCAAAATCTAGAATTCTGATAATAACTCAAGGAAGACAGCTATGACTTTATAATGTCTCACCCAATTATAGGGGCTGTGGTGAAAAACTCCTAATGATTTTTTCCATGAACCTTCTCATAAGTTTATAATAAAAAAGGGAAACCATAAGAAAAAAGAAAAACAGAAGTAGTAAGAAGTTGAAGCAAAGAGTTAATACAACAATGGGGGCCAGGCTTTTTTTTTTTTTTTGGGGACAAAAATAACAAAAATGTGAAACCATTTGAGTTATCTAAAGATATAGGAAACATGGTGACAAACAAATATGTACCTATTAAGAGCAAAGCTCCATCTTAAATTTTCTTCAATTTCTTCCTCATACCAACAGCTCTTCCTGTATCCATTCAGAACTGAATGAGCTTTTCCATTTACTCCATTCCCATTCCCATTCCCATTCCCATTGCCATTGTTGGTTCCATTGGAATAAGAAATGTCACCCATTTTCCTATAGCTGGCTATGCCAAAATACTTCACAAAACAGAACACAGTCTCTGTGTTTCTCTGTGAGAGAGAGAGAGAGAGAGAGAGAAGAGAGGTAAGTGATGGAAGAAGAAGGAGGGTTCACAATATAAGAAGCAAAAAGGTGGCAGCCAAATCGAAAAGTACCATGATTTAGGTTGGATAGAAAGCTAAGGAAATCATGGCAACACCAAAAAAAATATCCCAAAAAAAAAGAACAAAGAAAATCTATTGAAGTGGGTGTGCTTGAGACATAAAAGCATGCAGCCCCGAGATATCTTCATCGGAATTCGTAAAGGGAAATTGGGACTATTTAAGTTTTGGTTGCGTGGTTGTAACTTGTACCACCGTTTACTTTGTTCAATGTTTTGTTTTTTTTATCCGTAACAGCAATGATAGTGAAACTAACGCACCATTGCAACCATCAGATTCTTCAACATATGATCTTCTAGGTATGTAGATACTTCCATGGAATACGCAATGGGCTTTGACACGTAACTACATCTCAACGTCAAATGTGGGTTCAGTAGCTGATCAGGTAGTATGGCCGTCGTTATTTTGCGTTCAAGTTCGAATCTCCTTATAGTAGTTTGGATATTACTTTGTGGTAAAAAAAAATGAAAAAAATGAAAAAACACAATGTGAGAAATGAAACCTATGATATCATAGTTATGGTATGTATGAATACATGTATGATACATGATGATGATGATATTAATTTAATATGAGAAAAACTGGGTATTATAAGGGGGGAAAAGGTTAAAAGATGATGATGGAGGGGTGACAACAAGCGAAAAATCTGGTTATATTCTTTGCTTCAAGAATGTGTGCAAATCTTAGTTGGAATTGAAGAAGAGAGAAGCTGAGAGAGAGAGAGAGAGGAGCGTGCACTGGAAACCATCATAACATTCTCTTTGCTTCAAAAGATTTGGAGGGCGTGCTGTGGCAGGCGCACTCATCATCACCCTCACCATTAACGCATCAATTCTTTCCCCCCAAACAGGAAATAACTTCAACCCCACACCCACCATTAATATAATTAATTAACAAAGTTACTTACCCTATAATTAATAAACCCTAATTAACCCTTTACTAATCAATGACCACACTGTTACTTCACTATTTATCTAATATATATATTATATTTACATTTTGTTTTGAGAAATTTTACATTAAGTTTATCATGACGCAGTACTTTTGTAAGCGCATTCACATGTTAAAATGTTGAAAAAATAGTGTGAGTTGACTATCAAATTTACACATAACAAACACAAGAGAACAAAATCACTCTCTCCACATATTATGCTTGGTTTCCTATGCAGATTATCCAAACTTGTGCAACAATTTGTGGGTCTCATGGGGTCCAAAGTCATAAGGTCCATATTTGGTGGCGTAAGGTTGGCATCAGAATGATGTGTATAATCGTATAATGGAAATGAAGAAAATATTAATAGATTAAAAGGAAAAAAAATGTGGGCAGGCCACTGAATTAGCATGGTGGCATTGTATTTGATGCAGGCCAGCTATGAATACAAGGAAATCATTCTTGTTACTTGTATTGTTGTGTGTTTGGGGGTGATGATGGATTTGCCAAACTCTTGTTTTAGAAAGGTTATGATGAGAGAGAGACCTCAAAGGCTGAGCTCAACTCAAACTCAAACTCAAAGGTCCCCAGGACAATATTGTGTTCCCCTATCTTCATGACCTGTGAAAAAAATCATTGCACTGGCCAAGGGTTTGTCACCCAGCAAATCATATGACATGATTGTATAGATTTCTTATTTGCTTGCCTTGCTGCACCTAAAATGATGTCTCATCTTCATTTCCCATAATGCGTCTCGTGCCTTTCTTTTTGTCATGCTTTTCTTCTTAACGGCACAAAAAAAATATCCAGTTTGAAATACTCATGTACGCCTCCTGGTCGGACATCTTTCCTTGGTATACATAAAGGAGCTATGCACTTGTTATCGATATAGGCCTAACTTCACCAGCAAACACTTTCTCAAAGTTTAGTTAGACCGAGCTTTACTAACAAGTAATCTTCCTACGGTACCAAACAAGATCAAAACCATACGTAATTGACAGACTTCCAAGACCAAAAACTATGTGATTTAGGACCTTTAAAAAAAAAAAAAAAAAAAAAAACTCTTCCTAGTCTTGCTATATTACCTATTGTTAGTTGAATTAGATGCGTTGAATTTCTTTTGATATTTTTTTTATTACTCTTACGAGAATTATTTGTTAGCTATATAGCCTATATGTAAGGGTGGACATCAATCTGGCCAACCAAGAAAAAGTCAAATGTTTCAAAACTGAATTGAATCGTAAATGGTTTGGTTTGTTTTTGAGCTTTTGCAAATAGACTTAAACCGAACTGACTGTTCACTTATATATTTATTTTATTTTACACATGTAATACTTTCATTGGATAATAACTAGATATGGAGGTTGAATTCGAAGTTTAATGGAACTTTGAAGTTATTGATATAGGGTCGTTGGACTATTCAAATAGAGAACTAAATTGTTGGAGACTACCTAGGAATGGAACCGGTCAAATTAAGTAAAAAGAAACCTAATTTAGTACTCAAATTGATGAAAAGATGAAAAGACAACTCAAAATTAGAGCCATTTGAGTAAGAACGGCAAATTTGACTGCTCAAAATAAGTTAGGTATTCATGTTACGGTATGAATTTCATTTTACCCAATTTTTTCACACGCAATTTAAGATTTTGTTTTTCTTTTGTGTGTGCTGTTCTAGAGTTGAAATGCATATACAACGCATGAACAAAAAGTCTACACAACTTAGGCAGTGTTTGACCCGATGAAAAGATAGGATAGGAGGAAGCCCAACCAATAAAACGGCGGCGTATTGAGCTCGGGCTGAATGTGTTTTTTTTCAGGTTATGGGCTTTTCTTCATGGGTGTCATAAAAATGGAGGTAGACAGGCCCAGCCTCCAGCCCAACTCTTCCATCTCTGTAAACCCCAGACGTCAACACTCTAAACCCTCTTTCTGAATTCTGAGCTTTCTCTTCTCCTTGTAACCTGCAGCTGTTCTTCTCACCCAGGTATTTCCTCTTCTTTTAATGTCTCTTTTTTCTTGTTTCTAATTTAGAATTTAACTAGGTCATACTGTCGAGATGATATAAAATATTTTACTTGAATTTTAAGCTTTGGTTGTTGTGGAAGGGAAGAGTGAGGCTCCGTTGGGTTTGTGATTCGGAAATAGTTTTCAAAAAAACTAGGATTGAATCTGAAAGTTTTGAGCTTTATTCTGCAAATTTTAAAAGTCTGAAAACTTGGTTGGTATTAAAAACATGAAAACCCGAATTTGCAACCTCAATGTCATCCGCACCATATTGTTCTTCTTAGTCATTCCATCAAACAGCTTCTCTGCATAAAAAGTTCAGGAAATGTTCATCTATATATTCCATTATTGTGCAACCCCAAGGTTTCGTCTGGCATCTGAGAAATGTTTTAGAGGGTGATAGCTTTCCTACTATTTGTTTCTTGTTAATTATGTAATTTCGAAATTTCTTTTTTATGTAGTTTCAAGAGATGGAGTATGTGAGCCCTGAAGGCCTTCGCTTAGATGGTCGCCGCCCCATGGAAGTATTTGTCTATCTCTGTTTTTTCTTTTGTATTTAATTATCATTATCATAATGCTTCATTTTATTTTATTTTATGAATTAAATAATTTATTCTTTTCTTCTTTGATCCCAGATGAGACAAATTCGTGCAGAGATTGGTGTTGTTGCCAAAGCCGACGGGTTCTAATTACTAACCCTTGTAATTTTTTCTTTTCAATTTTGTTTTTTACATTGGCTTTGATTTTGTTTTAAATTCCTCTTGCACATCAAATTTTCAGTTCTGCTTTGTTTGAGATGGGTAACACCAAAGTCATTGCTGCAGTGTATGGCCCTAGAGAGGTTAGTTAACTCTTTTTTTTCTTCTTCATTAACACCTAAGTCAAATGCGGTACTCATTAGTGTTTCGAAATTTTTGTCTAATTTTCAAGTTAAATTTTCATTCAAGCTGTTTAAAAAATTACTTTGTTTTTAGGTCCAAAATAGGAGCCAACAATTGAATGACAGCGCACTGGTAATAATTCATCTAAATCTTTGTGTATCAAACTTATATATGTTGTGTTTAATATGCTAAACCTAAATCTGACATGCATTTAATACATTTGTAAATATAATGTCGTCTGCAATTGTTAATAACTTTAGGTGCGATGTGAGTATACCATGGCAAATTTTAGTACTGGGGATCGCATGAGAAAACCAAAGGGGGATAGGTGAGATATTAATATTATTTTTTATTGCTAAACATACATGCTTTGTATGATCTTCCATTTGAAATTTCACATAACAATGTTGTATCCATTACTACGTTAAACAATATAAATAATATGCGTATCCTTGATGCTCTCAGGAGATCAACAGAGATATCTTTAGTTATTCGCCAAACCATGGAAGCATGCATTATGACACATTTAATGCCTCGGTCTCAGGTTCCACTGTTGCATCTTGGGGAACTTTTCTTGCATGAATGTGTAGCTTGTTCTTTTCTGAGCCTTGTATCTGTTTTTTTCAGATTGATATTTTTGTTCAAGTTCTCCAAGCAGATGGAGGTAAATTGTGATGTCTCGTTGCAGTCATAGTCCTATATGATAATGTACTTTCAGATTATATGATAAATTCATGCTGCCCTGTTTCCATCTATGTGTGCGTGCATGTTTGATCCTCTGTTATTCAATATATTTGTTGATGCAGGCATCATATTCGAATAGAATAAGTGATTGATACAGTATTCCCAAAGTCTAATGCTAGTCACTCTTATCTGCGTATCATTTAGAATTTTAACTATTAGCAAATACTACTGGATTTGAACAGGCTGCTTCACTATTTTAATTGGAGAATGGAACGATTTATCCTTAAGTTTGATTTTATTTGGTTTTATTTTTGGCAGGAACTAGATCTGCATGCATTAATGCTGCAAGCCTGGCCCTTGCAGATGCTGGAATTCCAATGCGTGATCTTGTTACCTCCTGTAGTGCTGGCTATCTTAATAGCACACCTCTGCTTGGTAAATGTTTTCTTTATTTTATATTTGTATTTAAGAATACTTTTCTTTGGGACCCCTTGGAAGGCCTCTCTGTACAAGTACGATATTGTAATTTTCAAATGAGCTTATTGTTGCTGGAACGACAGATTTAAACTACATAGAAGATAGTGCTGGAGGTGCTGATGTCACTTTAGGCATTATGCCAAAGTTGGACAAAGTGACTCTTCTTCAGGTTTTTATTTCATAACGTGCTTTTCAGTTTATTCTTCCGAATCTTAAGTTGCAATTATTGTATTAGCTGATACCCAGGTATCCCCTTTGCGTTAGCCTCTGTACACGACTTATTCATGATGATCGTTGATGCAGATGGATGCTAAATTATCGGTGGAAACTTTTGAAAATGTAATGCAACTTGCGATCGAAGGCTGCAAGGCGGTTGCAACCTACATTCGAGAGGTAAGGACTTCTTTGCTGCATTTTTTCCCCTCAAATGAAAAGTTCTTCCTAGTCAGTTGTCATGTGGCTTCTGTATTTGGACAATGCTCATTGATCAATGAGGCTTCATCTTTATGTTCCAGTATTGTCATGTTTATTGGAATTTTCATTTGGGTTTGTACAACAGGTATTACTAGAGAATACAAAGCAATTGGAGTCTCGCCGAGGCATCTAGTTCCAAATTAAGGTATGGCAACCAACCTCATTTGTTATTTGGTATGGAAACTTGATCCAATGGCACACAATCACCTACGTATTCTGCTTCATTTTTTTTCTTTCTCTACCTGTAGGTTTCTGGCCGTTCAATGATGAAGTTTGAGGTGGCTATATTACGCGGACAGTGTTGATGGAAGTAATCTTGGAATTGAACCCACTGAGTTGAAGTATCCCCAAGGGGAGAGCTTTGATTTTGGATTCTGAGAATGGTAACATCTACAACATGGGCCGAAGTGGCAACTTTTAAGAGGGCCTCGCAGTAATCTAAAATGTATAAACTATTTTTCCATCATGTTCTTATATTCTTGTTGTAAATGAAGATTTAAAGTAGAAATTATAATCAAAGAAAGAAGCTCCGTTTATTTTCAGAATTTTCTTGTTTTCTAATAGCATTCGCATGCTTATAAATTTGGCTATTTTCTGTTTGTTTTTTCCTCTTTTTTCTTTTCGTTACATAGCCTGCCTCTAATTGCAAGTTATAGAATAAAGCTCTCATTCTTTGTATTGTTTTTGCGTCACGAATTAAGCTTATTCAAACAAGTGGTAGTATAATATAATCCCATTGGAGGACCAACCAAGACAACTTTGATTTCAAGCAACTCATTCGACTAGGGAGAAGGCCAATGCCAATTTTTGTTGACAGTATGAGGCAATTAACTGTGGCTACTTGCTGGTCTTCTATTGAATGTAATGGCAACAAATTGATTGTGGTGCTAATATTTTATTTAAGTCCTAACCCCGGTATCGTTTGTATTAAAAAAAAGGCAAGAGATTGAGAGCAACCCCTATTGAGATATCGAAGTAATGATAACTTGCCATTACTGAAGGACCATCTTATTGCAAACGACAAACATGTTATTTTCCATAATTGGATAAGATTGTTGAATTAGCTAGTCTAATCTACAGTGTAAGTCCCAAAAGACATTTTGAACAGGATTATGATTCCCTCCTTGCCTACTAATGTGGTTTAGTCACAATTTAACACATGTATTTCTTGTTAAGAATAATTAAAGTGAAAATAAAGAGAGTCTCACTATTATTCCTAATATAGGGGCTCAAATTGTATAAAAAAATCATACATGAAATGGACTTTAGAAACACACATAAAATCCATTTATAATATAACAAAGAGGCTTTGAACTTCTTATAATTTACAAAACTGCCATCAATTTTCTTAAAACAAGTCCAACTTCAAAACCTCACAAAAAAACCCAAAACACTAAAAAAAATAGGGTAAAACTAGGAATTAGTATATTAAGTAAACTCAAAAATAGGGTAGCTGGCAATAGTAGGAATTTTTTTTTTTTGGTTTGTTTATAGAAATTAAATGGTATAATGTTTATCTATAACACTAGGGCTAAGAATGAGTATATAACTAAATATCTTAAAAATAAATGCACATTTGAGAATAAAATAAAAAGGACAAGTGTTAGTTTGTAGTTAAGTCACATCAGTAGATAAGGAGGAGTCACATCAGTAGGTAAGGAGGAGTTCCTTCTTATGGGCAAGAAGGGGAAGTATTATCATTTTTTCAATTCTCTCATACAAGTTAACAAAAGATTATCTATGGAACATGTTACTTTTTAAGGGTGGTGGTAATATCAGCGCCAACATAAAAATTGATGTCATAACATAGAAAAGGCATCAGAAAGGAAGAAAGATGTGATGCTATTTCTCCTATGTAGCAATAGAATTTATGTTGCAACTGATGCCCTTGATGCTTTTAGGCATCGGAAGTCAACGCCCATCACATATATGCAAGTCTCGTAAGCATCAGTAATTTTATCCGGACTAATGCTGTAAGTGGAATATGCATCGAACTCCAATGTCTATAACTCTTCGATGCCTATAACTAGTAAAAGGCCACGATGACGAATACCTAGGTTGGGGGTATATGGAACCAAATTTGGCATAGTGTAAGCTAAGCTAACCATCACATGAATGAATGGCTAGAATGAGTTAGCTAATAATTTGACAAAATGAGTAGATCAGATAATTGTAATAATGGGTTGAGCCGGCCCAGCACGACATGAGCCCAACCTGTTTAAATGGAGCACTACACTGCCCAAGTACGATTATTGGTGGGTTGTGCTAGGTACGATATGAAAGCATGGGCTATTCCGGAATTAGAAAATAAATCCAATGGATCAGGTTGACTCGCTATCCGCCAAAGGCCGGGCTTGGCCCCGAGCCCACTTCAAGCCCGGCCTAACCCACTTATTATTATTATTTTTGTTGTCAAGGCCCACTTTACATAAACCATCTCTTAGCCTCCTTTCTCTCTCAATATGTACATATATGGACTGTGATTTGGTGATTTTTTCTTCCAACAAATCATATATTTTCATACTAAATAAATACTGAAATAAATCCTCAATTTTTAGTCCCATATTAAATCAACAATAAATAAATCCTCAATTTTTAGTCTCATATTACATATATATAATATGTTCATTATATATATATTTGTAAGGCCCAATTCAAAGTTAAATGGGCCAAGTACAGGCCCGATTCAAGCACGGTTTGAGAATGACCCGCTTAAATGTGAATTTGAATTTTAGGCCAGGCCATGATCAATGATTTTGATAAATATGATGAGAAAAAATGCCCTAGTCTAAGCCCCAAAAGACTTTGGAAAATGGTACAAAAACGCAAGAGCATGTAACTATCGAAGACTAACCAAATTAATCGCATGCCATTCATACTCCCTCCCTGCCCCAGTAAAGCCTGATTAATTAGTGTTGACCCGAAGCCAAAAGAATAGTCTATGTAGACTTTGGGGTTTAAAAATATTCTCTTTATTAGTTGCTATTACCGCTAGGATTACATTAAAAATTGGTCTTAGTATATGAGTTTCATCATTAGGAAGTCCTTTAGCTCCTATATTCAATGGGTTTACATTCACAAAAAATATATATACACATAGAGCTTTCATTGACGGATATCTCAAATAAGTTTATTTGAAAAACACTCTTGTAGGGCCTACTCTGTATTGTGAATAAAAATGCTCAACCAAGGACTTCCAAACAAGTCTAGTAACTTAACTTCTTGTTTATTGCTCACTTCTGAACAAAATTTCTGACATAATTAATTAATTGTCAATGAAAATATTATTTTTCAGATAGTAACATGAGAATTTAAACTAGTCGTTCTAATTAATTAGCGAATGAGAAGCAGCAACGTGCTATTTAAGGAAGGATATTGAAACTTTATCACCCCACATGCACAAAGAAGCCAAAAAGCCATGGCGGCTTCAACGTTGAAACTAGTGTTCTTCTTGCTCTTTACCTTCTTCACCTTCTCACAAATAACCTCAAGCCACCACCCACTGGACCCTCTAACCCCATCTGAGTTCAAAGTGGTTCGAACCCTAGTCAAGAAATCATACCCTAGCCCCAAACACAACCTAACCTTTCAATACATAAGCTTGGACGAGCCAGACAAACCGGCCCTCCATTCATGGCTCTCGAAACCCAAATCAAAACCCCCACCTCGCCGAGCCTTTGTCATCACACGGCTCAACAGACAATCCCATGAGCTCATAGTGGATTTATCAAATCGGTACATAGTTTCTGATAAAGTTTACAATGGAAATGATGGCTACCCTTTGCTCACCTTGGACGAACAAACGGTGGCAAGTGAACTGCCGTTTTCCTATAAACCATTTATTGACTCGGTCAAGAAGAGGAGGCTTAACTTGTCCGAGGTTGTTTGTTCCACGTTTTCAGTTGGGTGGTTTGGGGAGGAGCACAGTGGAAGAGTGATAAAGATTTTGTGTTTTTATATTGAGGGATCGGCTAATTTGTACGTGAGGCCCTTGGAGGGAGTATCTTTGCTCGTTGATCTTGATGAGTTGAAGATAGTTGAGTATTATGACCGGGCGAGGGTTCCGGTGCCAAAAGCTGAGGGGACGGAGTACAGGCGGTCGAAGCAGAAACCGCCGTTCGGTCCACGGCTGAATAGATTCGCCATAGAGCAACCGGATGGACCTGGGTTCAAGATCAATGGGCACAAAATAAGGTTAGTATCAGAGATGCGATCATGAGTTATGGTATAAATGGTTTGATTCGCTTAGAAAGCCCAAATTATTGTATGATCTCACTCACCAAATCACACTCATAACGTGAAAAAAAAAAGTAATAGTTTTTTATTAGTATATTTGTCAATGGAACTAGGATTAATTATTTTATTAGTCCATGAACTTAGACCCGATTTACATTTGAGTTCCTCAATTTTCAAATTGTTCCCGTGGTCCTTTAACTTCACTTTCGTTACGACAAATAGTTCTACCGTCAATTTTGTTAACCTTTTCTGTTAAATGCAGGAGCAAAATGGTATTTTTATATTAAAACAAAAAAATGAATAAAAAATCATATCTTTAAAATAATAATAAAAGAAAATCAAATTAAAAAAAGAAGAAGAAGAAAAATCAAGTTTGGGGGAGTAGAAGTTAGGATAGAGGGGGAGAGAGAGTTTAATTTTTTATTCATATTTTAATCAATCTAATACAAAAATACCATTTTGCCTTTGCATTTAACATAAAAGTTAACAAAATTGAAGGCATGATCATTTGTCCTAATGAAACTGAAGTTGAAGAACCACGGAAACGATTTTGGAAATTAAGGAACTTAAATACAAATCAAATCTAAATTCAGGAACTAATAAAATGATAAACCCATGAAACTAACCTGAATATTCCACACGTAGATAGTTAGGTACGTGGAAATTGTCATCAACATTGAAAAATGAATGTAATCGGTCACTAATGACAAAATATGCCGGCTATTGTGTTCCACATATTCGTCAAGGGGGTGTCTTTTTCTCAATGGACTTAAAGATATTCAAGCACGTGTACAAAGTGGCAGAGCCACTCCTAGACCTGGAGTGGTCCTGGTCCCCCCATATTTTTATCAATCCTCTATTATATTATATATAATATATAAAATTTGTAATAAACAACTTAGAATTTAAGTTAAAATGTCATTTAAAATAAATTAGATATGACTTAATTAGAAATATTTAGCTCTAAACATGTAAGTATTGAATATTTAGGTGTTTTATATACTTATATTTTCTATTTCGGCCTCCCCAACTTTACAATTCTAGCTCCCCCCTGCGTGTACACCTCCTTTCGTATGCAAACTTGTGGATTCTTCTCAACCTCATGGCCTCATTTTAGTCCTATCTTTGACTTACTTTTGGCGCATAATTATGGGAAGTAGTAAACTTCCTCTTTTTCAGTTTAACTGAACTTCGTGGAAGAGTTTTAACTTAACAACACTCCCAAAGTGCTGTTTTAAGGCCTAATTTATGATAAAGGATTTGTAGTTTAAGTAGTTAAGAGTACTTAACGTCTTATGTTTGAATC